GCGGGGAGAAGATCCCGGCCCCGCCCGGGCGCGGGAGGGCATCCGCGGCCACGCCGAGGAGCCCCTCTCCCCTCAGGGTCGCTCCGGGACCTCGCAGTAGGCGCCCTCCTCAGGCCCCGTCTGGAGCAGGCACGACCCTCCGGGACTGGCGTTTTCTGGTCCCCAGGGTCAGACAGGATGCAGACTCTGTAGAGCGCGAGGACGGCGACACCCTGGCTGGTGCCGCAGCAAGCGATCTAGGAACCTCTTCTGCACATTGTTCCCGAGTGCTACTTAAATCGGTGTAAATGAATCCTCTCCCGTGTACGAGGGAGAGCATCTTTTGTTGTTTGGGTTTGGTTTGGTTGTTGAGGCCGTCGCGCGATTCTTAGGCTGTCCTTGAACTCACTATGTAGCCTAGGCTGACCTCAAACTCCAGGCGATGTTCCTGCCTCAGCCTCCCAGTGCTGGGATCACGGGTGTGCGCCAACACACCCAACTGCAGAGGGTATCTTTCTGAGGAAGGAAAAGGCGGAGGAAAAATACAAAATGGAGTTTCTATGACTATTTAAAATAAATTTGGTATTAACATACTATAATTCATTTATTTCATCGCTACTTCCATTAGTGTGTTTGATAGCTTCATATTTCCCCTTGGTGTTATATATCACAACCTTAGAATTTTGAGGTCTGGAACACAGGACCTGGAATTTTTCATCTATTATGGTACACTCTACTTTTTTCTCCATAACCTGAGTGCCCAGGATAAAATTTGGAAAATAATATGGGGTTCATCTAATGACATGAAGGCTTTAATAGCAAGAAATGCTTTCCTTGACATGTGAGCATCTCACAAGAGAGGTAAAACTTATGTCACAATAAACACATGCGAGTTTTTTTATTACACAAGATTAAGAAGATGGCAAATCTTATTTTACCATGAGCAAACATTTTATCTGGTGCCATCTTTGCATGGTGTTATGTTCCCTTGCTATATATTGCCTACCACTCATTTGATACCCAGTACCTGTTGAACACCTGCTGTTCTAGGCATGTTCTAGGTTCTTGGGATAGGACAACGAAAATAAGACAACGGGCGCCAGGGATTTAGCACAATGGTGCCGCTGCTTGCCTCGCAAGTGCAAGATCCCGAGTTCAATCCCTGGTACCCCCCCAAAGAAAATAAGACAATAAAAGACCCAATCAAAAAACAGGCAGCCAGTGAATAGACACTTCTCAGAAGTACAAATGGTCCATAAGAACATTTTAAAAATGCCCATCTGTGGCCACGCTACACTGACATAACGTCTTACGACTGAAAGAATGGCTAGCATCAAAACAATCTAATAATACAAATGCTAGCAAGGATGTGGGGGAAAAAAACCTGCATTGTTGGTGGGAATTGTAAAGTAGTACAAGCACTGTGGAGATCAGTGTGGAGAGTCCTCAAAAAAACTAAAATTAGAAATTCCATTTGACCCGGCTGGCCCCTGTCTAGGTATCTTCCTAAAAGAGTTAAAAATCATCATATTACAGGGATACATGCATACCCATGTTTATAGCAGCACAATTCATAATGGCTAGATCTTTGAAACAGCATGTTTGTCCATCCACAGATGAATGGATAAGGAATATGTGGTATTATACACAATGGAGTACGATGCTGCCGTAAAGAGAAACTTGAGGCATTTGCAGGTAAACAGGTGAAACTTGAGAACATGGTGTTAAGTAAAATAAGTCAAACACAAGCTAAAATGTAGTTTTTCTTGGGAAATCCAATATATATATGTATATATAAACATACAAATAAAGAGCAAAATAGATAAATAGGAAGTAGAGAGAATTTGAAATACTTAGCCAAATCATATATTTCACTGTTGCAGAAATACTTTAATATATATGCTAATTTGTTTCATTTCTACAACTAGTTCTTCATAGTTCATTGCAAAGAAAGTTTTGTGCTATTTGTTTCTTTATAAGAAACAATCTTTTTGTCTTGTACTGAGAAACTATTTTGAAGAAAATGTGCAGTATATTAACTAATTTTTCTAGTGTATTAACTATTGTTATTCTTGCTATATTGATATTAAATTTTTTTCATAAAGTTTAAAAAAGAAATCAGACAAAAGTCTATTGGTTATAAGTGCCAAGGTGAAAATGAGAGAGGGGTCACAATTTTAGAAAGGGAAACAGAATGACCAGAGAAAGCCCATGAGGTGATTTTGCAGTTAAGTGACAAAGTGAGGAAACTGGCCACGGCTAGCTGGAGGAAAAGTATTCCCTGCAGGAAGGACAACTCCAAATCCTGATGAGTGGCCATGTTTCCAGCAGGTTGGCAGGGTGGTGAGCGAGTCTGTAGCTGTGGCACCGGGCAGAGCCCTGGGAATGAAGGGAGAGTGGTGGTGATGGCCAAGGCACCTGGGACTTCATAGGTCATTGTGCTGAATTTTGCCTTGAGCAGAGGAACGACATGACTTGACTTAATGTTTTCATGGGATTGCTTGGCTGTGTTGAGAGTACAGTGAGAAGCTATTGTTGCATGGCCCTGCGTAAAAGCAGTGGAGAAGACAGTAAGTGGTCATATTCTAGACACACTTGAACGAGCCAACAGGATTTGCCGATAGATTATACATGTGAGAGTAAGAGGGATGAAAGGCCACCTGGTGAGTGCGTGCGTCAAGCCAGATGGAGCTCCACAGATGCAGATGGTTCTCAGAAAACATAGGAACCTGCTCCTTGTGCCCACGGTTCAGATAAAAGGACAAGTATTGAAGTGATGGGAGAGTAGATGGAGAAGAGGAAACCGTAAAACATAAATGGAAAGATGGTGAGGTTTTCTTACAGTAGGGTAGATAGGCCAGTGCTGAAGACGGGAAAGGGTTTCTGCCCAGGGTTGGTCTCAGAGGACAAAGGGACACTAGGACCTGTCAGTCCAGACAGCTCTTCAGTCTGGAGCTTCTCCAGGGACCGGAACACAGGATCACTTTCACACTCATGGAGCAAAGCCATGGAGTTTTAGAGCTGGGTAAGAACTTGGAGGTTACCTAAATCTCGCTTTATCAAGAAAACTAGAAAAATATGTTTTGCCTTACATCACCTTCCTAACTCGGCAAACTAGTATCAGAACTGGCTTTCTAGTCCCATTTTGAGCCATCTTCTACGGTGGCACGTTAAGAATCCTACCTTCCTGTGACTCCAGACTGCTCCTAACAGCTGTTTTGAAAGCCATCCCCGTTCCATACAAAGCACTCCCTTCTCAACGTCATTTCAGCTCTCTGAATTGTACAGCACAGAGAAAGCCTCAATTAGGCGCTCTCTTTAAGCGTTGTAATTTGCCTTTTAATCCAGGAGGGTGCATTTCAGAGAAACACTGTGGGCAGCATCCGCAGTAGCAGTGCATACGGAACTCGGGAACTCTGAATCCAAATCCTAAAATCCAGAGGCTTTGAATTCATATCTGTTTTCTAAAAAATCCCAAGACTTTTGGAAATTTTTATTGAGGCATGCAGAATTTGCAGCTATAATTCTCCAGACATTGCCTCTGATAATACTAATGCTGTATTATATAATAGAGATATTTTCCCCTTGAGGTTATTAATTGTAAATGGAAAAAATGATAATTAGGGAATTAAATCATACTAACAAATTTTTTTAATTAATTGAGTATGACTATTTCATTTAGAGGAGAAAATAAAGTGTGACCTTGGGATGACCTCATAGCTTTCTGGGTATCAGTTTTCTCATGTGAAAAATTAAGAAATTTAACAATTTGATTCCTTTTTTTTTCTTTCTTCTCCCTCTTTCTCTCTCTTTTTCTTTCTTTTTTCTTTCATTTCTTCCTTCCCTCTTCCTTCTCCTCTTCTTCCTTTTCCTCCTCCTCCTCCTTCTTTCTTTCTTTCTTTTTTTTTTTTTTTTGTACTGGGGATTGAATCCAGGGCTTTCACACTGAGCTACATACCCAGCCCTTTTTTATTTTTTTCTTAAGACACAATCTTAATAAGTTGTTATAATGCCCAGGATGGGCTCAAACTTAAAAGTTCTCCTGCCTCAGCCTCTGACTGCTGAAATTACAGGGCTGGATCGTTTGGTTTTTAAACTATCTTTTAGTTATAAAGTTTTGTGCCATGCAAGTAGAAGGATATATGCAAAAATAAAAAGTTACCCTAGTATGGTAATAGGCATATCGGTGATTTTCTTTCTTTTAAACATTTTGTTTTCATTTAAAAACTATTAAGAAAGCCAGGTGTGATAGTGCATGCCTATAATCCCAGCACTTGGGAGACTGAGGCAGGAGGATCACGTCTAGTTTGAGGCCAGCCTGGGCTACATAGTGAGTTCAAGACAGCCAGACCTAGTCTTAAAACAAAACAAAACCTATTAGGGAAAGAGCCAGATGTTGTGGCACACTCCTGTAATCCTAGCACTAAAGGTGGCTGAGGCAGGAGGAGCACAAATTAAAGTCCTGCTTGGGCAACTTAATGAGACCCTGTCTGAGGATAAAAAATAAAAAGGGCAAGGGATATAGCTCAGTGGTAAATCACCCCTGAGTTCAATTCCC